GTGATCCAAGAAGGCAGAAGCCAAGAAGCTCTGCTCCTTCTCTATACAGCATTCTTCAAACTCACTGCAGGGCTCACAGTGAGTAGTGGCACTGATACACACATCAGCAGGCTCAGGGTCTTGGGGAGAGAACATTTTAGGGTTGTGCTCTCTATACTATAAACTACTAGAGAACTATTTTAATATGGCTGAAGACTGAAACCAACATGGAAGGCAGGAAAGACTAGAATAAGCCCTCTTTGGTAGTACAAAAGAAGTTTAGTTCCAGTTAAGGATGGTAGGGATGAAGATGTCAAGATGTAGGAACAGAAGTGATATATTTCTTCTGCAGTTTGCATGAGGGAAGGCTTCCTGAAGGACAAAACTGGAGGAAAGGAAAAGAGAATTCTCGGTTCATGGGAATCCTAAGTAAAAATATGTCAGGGTGAAAAAGACTGATTTTCAGTATACAGATGAATAGAAGAACATTACTGAAGGATACTAAGACTGGGACATGGCAAAAATGAAAGCATGTCAGAACAAGGCAAGGCGGGTATTATTGAAAGAGCTTACTGTTGGGTACCAGAGATTCATGGAAAAGTGTACTCCGAGGAGCAGCAGCCTTGAGTTGCCATAGAACAATCACACAATCAAGTTTGCAGATAGAGGATGTAGAGAGCTGAGGAAATTAAAGCAGAAGGCTGCTGTGCTGAAGCGCAAGACAAGGAGGATCAGAATTAGAACAGGGAGCTACAGACACACACAGGAACACATCAAATATCCAAGGGGCAAAGGGGGAAGACCTGAAATTAGTGACTCAGTAATCATGTGAAGGAAGGAGATAAAATCAGCCATTAACCACACTAGAAGACTGAGCCCTGGAAGGAGAGAATTTTAAGAGAGAGTTAAGTTCCTCCGGGTCCTCCGATTTCTGTTGCTTTAGAAAACTATATGCAGACAGTCAGCAAATTAGTGGATATAATGGTTTTAAACAAAAATAGAAAAAAAATTTTAGATACAATATCATGTAAATTATAAGTATCATGAAAAACAGATGGTGTAGTGAGAGATTATAGAATGGTAGCCCAAGACAGACCCTAACATTTGAGGGATAGTTTTAAAAAAGAAAAGAAAAACTCAACCAAACACAAAAACCCAGGGTAAAGGAAAGTTCAAAGAGTGTTGGGAGCTGGAAAGCTGACTCTGCAGTGGAGGACCCAAGTTCAGTTCCCAGCACTCAGGTTGCACAGCGCCTATAATTCCGGGTCCAAAGGATCCAATGCCCTCTTCTGGTCTCGGCAGGTACCTGCAAATGTGGCATTTACACACACGGGCACACGCAAACACACACACACACACACACACACACACACACACACACACACACGCACACGCACACACGCACGCGCACGCACGCACACACACACGCACAGGCACAAATATAAATAAGTCTTTTTTTTTTTTTTTAAAGTATTGGGTCCTAAAAGCCAAAAGAAAGCATCTTGAGGAAGAGATTATAAAGATCAAACATTAAGCATAGGCCTCAGAGATAATCATTAAAAATGGCTCTTTATTGTGATCTGTGATGCCCTAACCAAGAGTTGTGTTACATCAAGATACCCAGTATGCACTGCTGAGAACGGAGGAGGGAGGCACTCCTGAGGAGTAAGCTGAGAAGATGCATCACTTCTTCAAGAGGCTGACATGAAGGCCAGGAGATTCTCAGAAAATGCTAAGGTACTGGGACCTTCAAAAAAGTGGAGTCATTTCCAAGATGGAAACTAAGCTTTTATTACTAACTCAAAGAGAACAGTCCGATTTATAGGCAAAAGAGAAAAACAAGTGGACAACTTCATAAAATTAACAAGGTCATCGTCTGCATGCCATGTGGTCAATCTCTAAGAAAAACCAGGCAGTGATTACACTTACAAGGGTGAGCTCCCACTTCTGCTACTGAGTACATCTTCGATCCTGAGCAGCTCACTCAGGCCCTCTGCACCCAGTTTCCCCATCAAGACAAAGGCGGTGACAGCCGAGCTTCTACCACAGGCTTCCTGAGAATCGAATAAGCACAGCATACACACTCCTAGCACAGCACTGGTTTCCAGAAAGATCTGAAACTGTCTTCATTGAAAATCTCATGTAAAAACGACAGTGTTTAAATAACTTCAGCAGTTACCTATTTCAGCTGGGCATGGTGATGTATGCCTGTCATTCCCCCCACGGGGGAAGCTGAGACAGTGGGTCACCAGGGCAAGCTGGGCTACAATGTGAGAACTTATCTCAAGCCAGGAAAACAAAAGAGAAGGGCACTGTGTTTCCCAGTTCCAGGATCAAACCCACTGCCTTGTTCACTCCCTCTATTGCTAGCTCCACCCCTCCACCCAGCACTTCAGTTGTTCAAAGGCAGGAATAGTTACCCAGTTATGATAAGTCCTAATGGAATGCTGGCCTAACAGGTTCATAATTCTCTTCAGTAAACAGGTTACTATTTGTCCACACAGAAGTAAAGACACTGATGGTAAACAGATTACAAACAGCATATGTTCATCTAATACAACTCAGAAAGTAGAAACCAAGTGCTCAATTGTAATTTCAAATCCGAAGGACTCCTTCCTTCTCTTCAGTGGCATTGAGATACACCTCTCATTAATTTCCATAACCAAGTGTACACGGCAGAGACTTGTTCATCTTTGTGTCAAAATGAATTAAACATAACTCTGAATAGTAATGTGTTCTAATGTTGTCTCCCTTTTTAATTTACATGCGCAGTGGTCTTTAATGATACAGTATATAATTCTTCCAGCCAATCCAGAGACGAAAAGATTCAATTATTCCACAGATCCACAACCAGCTACCTATTTCCCTTATATATCAGAATTTCATTACTGTGAGAACAGATACAAAGTCAGCATACAGTAAAAGATCGTATGATCGATAATGTTGCCCGGGGAACTGAGAGCAATGCACAGAAATACATTAAATTTCATTACATAGTGTCTCATTATTGAGAGGAGTGTTGTCACCTTTGATACAAAACAAGAGCCCTATCCTTTAACAAGGAAAACAAACACTTGTAAAGCTCTAACGTAAAATGATGAAAATGTAGACCCACAATTAAGGCATGAGTAAATGAATTGAATTAATATGCTAATTTAAAAAGATGTCAAGTTTACAAATTGGTACATGGAGCAAATGTACACGGGATCCAAATTTACATTCAGAAATGTCACACACAGACTTTTAATTTAGTGGTATTGTACCTAGCAAAGTCCTTAGGACTTCTTCCCTAAAAGTCTGTTCAGAAAAAAAAAAAAAAAAAAAGATTAACTGCTGTTACTAAGACTAACTCAACTGCAGATCAATGTGCAGTCATATACCTTCCCTGCACATCTTCATTGTCTCTTCCCACCTCCTCTAAACTTCAAGTGTAAGTCACTAGGTAGTCAGAAATACCAGAAAGCATAAAACTGAGGCTTGCCTTTGAGGATATTTAAAAGACATTAAGACTAGAATATTTGGAGCTTACTGCTAAAAATGACTATTTGTGCTATCAAAGTGAGAAAGGAACCCACTTTTTCCTGTGCTTAGTAAATTCTCATTATCGCTATCTAAAATTATAGTGAATATGCATATAGTAAAGATTACTACTATATATAAAACATGTATAGTAATAATCCAGGAGGGAGTAGAATACAATAACTAATGAATATCACAGAACTGGTACCGAAGCACTGGAAAGAAAACAAAAGCGTCACATTAAAGATTAAACAATATTCTCAGGAAATCACCCATCAAATCCATCTCATGTATTGTGTGATGTCACATGGCAAGTTAACAGCTATTCCAGACGCTGAAAATGTTGCTTCTCAATTAGTAAAAAGTCAAAACAATAACAAAAAAAAAAAAATCAGTCACACGGAAGAAGCAAAACTGCATTATGCTGTTTGATGGAGATAAAATGACACCCCATGTTGAAATGAACGGTCACGTAGTAGGGTAGAGATGGTGTCTTTGTTATCCCCCCCCCCACCCCCCAAATCTGGCACTGGAACAGTGAACACAAAGAAATGAAGGAGTTACCCCCAACTCAGGGCTGAGCTCTGGGTTTGTACCAATCACAGTCTAGCTACCACTGCTCCTTTTGTGGTTGGGTTAGAACCTTTACAAAGGCATGATTATTTGCTTGAACCAACAACCACCTGGGCTCGACATGCAATGAAAAGCCATTTTTAAACAACTTGGTATGACTTTAGCACCTGGGGTAGCCACGTATAACATATACATGACACCACTGCCTATGAATGTCTCTAAACTTGTACATTCAGTACATACACTTTTTCCCTCTTCACAAGATGGCACTGAGCCACCTGAAACGATATAAGTATTTCTAAAAATGCGAACTTCTATGTAAATAACACATCTCCCACTTTAGTTGGCAAAAGATAATCATAAAGGAGAAATCTGCACTATGGACACTAAACCCGGACCCTTCCCTTGGTCGTATTTTTCTACTGGAGTCTTTCCTATCTGTAATGCTGAGGTATCTGTAATGGCACAGGCAGCCGGGCCCCCAAGTTCATTTCCGAAGTGGACCCCGCTGCTACCCCCTGCCTGGTCCTCCACTAAGCACACAGGCTCCCCTTTCTGAAGTCAGGGAGTGGGGACGTCTCCACGGAAGGTAACAACACACCAGCGGGAGAAACCACCCAGACATTCATCAAGTCGCCAAGTCGAACGACAGCCCGAGGGCCAGTCCTGCTCTGCCTCCTCGGAAGGCTCAGAATCCCTTCGAAAGGGGAGGTGGAAAAAAGCAAAGGAAAGAAACCCAGGGTGGGGTGAGCGCGATCGGGGAGGACGAAGCGCCCCGGTGAGGCTGCGGAGCCGGAGTGACGCAGCCACGGTCACCTGTGGGGCCGCCGACCTGGGCCCACCCCCCCGGGGGGGGGGACAGCGCCGAGCCGCAGCCGGAGCCCCCCGATCCCTCCTCCCGGGGCGGAGGAGCCGGGCCTTGAACTCACCGTCCACGGTCTTCTTCTTGAAGAGGGACGCCATGGTCAGCGGCCGCGCCCGGGCGGCCCAGCTCGGCCCGGTTCGGTCCGGCCCGGTTCTGGGGAAAGGACAGTGAGGACGGAGCCTGGGGACAGCTCGCAGCGGCGGGTGGTGGCGGCGGGGGGCGAGCGGAGGCAGGGGGTGGTCTCGGGACACGACCTGCAGCAGGCGTGGCTCCGCGAGCCTCCCGCGACCGCGTCCCGGGCGCTCAGGTGACCGGGAACTAAGACACTTTTTGGAGAAGTCACTTCTCGGCGGCGCCTGCGCATTCTGCGGGGGACGCCTGCGCACTGCGCGTCTGAAGCCGCGGCGCTGCCCTCACTTCGGAGGCTGCCCGCTCTTCCCGAGTCCGGGTCGCGAGCAGCCAAGATGCATGCAGGCTGGCCCGGCAGGTTGTCTCCGCGTCCGCAGCGGTACTCGGTTGGTTTCTGTGCGAACTAACCCTCAAGCACTTGTGAAACCTGCTCGGCTCTTCCCTCCTTGCTCCAGGTTGCTGGAATTAGGGATCCCGGAGACATGTCGGGGGGACTGCAGTCCTGAGACTGCCTGACTGATGTCAGGAGGACTTCCCACGCCATCAGTGCAGGGCCCTGGAGGATGCTCTGTGAGTGCTCTGCTCAGCTTGCCCCCAGGACCTCTGCTCCGATCGCCTGGAGCCTTTTGCTTCCTGTCCCGCCTCCGGCGGGACCCAGCTTCACCTGCTGCTGGGTTCCGGGTACCTCCACCAGCCTGTGTGTGTCCCTGGGGATCTGGGGTCTGGAGATTGTTTGGCCAGGAAAGGCGTGACGAACAAGTTTTTTAATGCCTTTTAATGCTCTTGGCCGGAAACGAGAGTGAAAGTGGACTTACATTTCTATTCTTGCTCAAACGTCGCCAACTCTTTCTAGATGCCCTGTAAATGGCTTGGGAAAAACACGCAGTCACACACACACAAATTGGCTATACAGTGAACCTAATAAATTGCTATACAGCTCTAGATTGATATTTGATACCAAAACTCTCCATGTACAATTATTTAAATTCCTGAGTGTTTAAAATAAATACGGAAAATATAATCTTGTACATGAATATTTATGTGTACATCTCTCTGCTTAATGCATTGTTTCTCTATTTACAATCATAATTTTGTTCTGAACGTATTTCCCTCCTGCCTCCCATGGGATTAAAAAAATCGCTAAATCTGGAGGTGTTATTCAATAGAACTCATGATTGTGTGCTAGGCCTTGGTTCAATTATTGGTACTACTAGTAGTAGTGGTAATAACTTTTTTTCATAGATATAATTTTTGGATGTAAAGGACATCCTAAAGTATTACTATTATTCATTTCAGAATCTACTAATTGTATCTCAAGAATGTTTAAGCTTTGAGGATCATGAGACTTGCTTTCTTCATTTTTTTTTCTTCATAAGACATCAACAGCCTCAGAGAACACTGATAACCCTGATGTTGCTGCTACTCTTAGTCAAATTTAGCCAAGAGTTTGTTAAGAAAACTTTCTGGGAAAAACAGAAGTAAGCAAGGTACATTTTCTTCCTTCCTTCCTGTACCCAGGGCTTGGCCTTTTCTCATGGAGACGCCATGGGTAGGTGGGTGGGGGGTTGTTACCCTGGCTGTCCATAGTAATGGATGCCATAGAGCTGTGTTTGAATGCATGAGAGGCAATAAGCTGCTGTGTGGGTAGGAACCTCACTCCCCCCTCTGCAGTCACCCTTGTTTTATTACTCCTAAGCGATCCCCCCCACTGACCCAATTGTAACAGTTGGGTAAATGCCAAGTACTTAGCAGCAACCATATGGAAGACCCTCCAAAAGTGCACAGCGGGAGCTAAAGACAGGGCTTGCTCATTACAATAAAGATAAAATAGAAATATGTACCACTGAAGCTCGGCACTCTAATAGCTTGCTGCTCCCGTAGTTTGAAACGGGCTGATATCCAGTTGATATGTCTCAGTCTGGCTGGCATCGATTCCATTTAGCCAAACTCAATGCACACCTATTGTGCATATGACTCCTTATGTAAAGAACACAGTATATTTAAATGCAGTTGAGGAACAAGCTTTAAATTGAAACAAGATTTATTTAAGTCCCCATGGTCATGTACAAATCTGTTAAATCAGCACACATATATAAGCATAGTATATTATAGACTTGAATAGTGTTCTCTAAATCTCTTTTTGAAAAGTAAATTAATGATATGCTATGATAATATCTTTATGACCCAATATTGTTCTTCCAGGTTGCTCAGACAGCGAAAACGATATGCTTCATAGCTTGCTATGTGTTGGGGATATCCCAGGAAAAAGAACAAAAACATGCCCTGGACCCTTTGACTCATTTCCCTGCTAGTTTTCATCTCCTCTCTCGGGAAGGACTCAGCTTTGACTCAGCATGAGAAAAGAGGTCATAAAACCACACCTATTAAGTGACATGACTGCTATGTACTACTCTGAGCTCCTTGCCATTGCTGTGTTTAGAAATAGATGGCTGCAGACTGGTTCCCTTTAAATACTCAAAAAATCTCTGATTAGAATATTAGTAAAGTGCTTTTAAAATATGAAGTAGTGAAATTTAGCTTTTGGCAAGCATCTTTCTTTCACACCTTACCAATAATACAACAATAAGTCTTGTTTGCCTTGTTTTGTGATACAGTGAAGCCAATAAGACAGCATTCCACCATTTTGATTGATTTTGTTCAGGTTTTTGTTCTGTTTGCTTCGTTTTGCTTTGTTCATTTTGAGACAGGATCTTATGTAGTCCAGGCTGGCCTTGAACTGGCTATGTGGTCTCCAACTTCCGATGCCTATGCCTCACTTTTTGAGGGGTCCGATTTTAGGCATATACAGGTTTTCTGTAGTGGTGGGGTTCTTAGCCAGGGCTGCTTTCATGCTGTGCAAGCCTCTCCCGATGGAGCTATCTCCAGTCTTCTGTCACCCCTTCTGCTACCCCTGTTGTTTTCCTTCTCCCAGGCTCGCGGCTTCTCCTGGTGTCTGTAGAGTGGAATGATGCTGATTCCAGTATAAATCAGATCATGTTCTTCTGTTTGTTTTTTAAAAGAATAAGGATGTAAGAGTTAATTTTGACTGTACATTTGACTAGAGCTAGAATTGCTTGGGCTAAAACCTCAGGGCATATCTGTGAAGGATTATTTAGATTTCTTTAGACTCTGGGCATACCTGTGAAGGATGCTCTAGATGAGATTAGGTGCTAGACATTCTTGTGAGAGATTATAAAGATTAGTTTAATTGAAGTAGGAAGACCCACCTTAATCGTGGGTGGGACCATTCTATGGGTTGGGATCCTGGACCTGATAACAATGAAAGGGAAGCTGCACACAACATCCATCACTCTCCTCTGCCTGACTGCAATGCAATGTGGCCAGCAGGCTCCCTTTCCTGCCACCAGCTTCCCAAAATCATGGACTTCCCCTAGCACTATAAGGCAAAAGAAATCCTTGCTTTCTTAAGTTGCTTTGGTCATTTTTTTTTTTAATAGCAATGAGGAGAGTAGCTAACCCAGAAAGATGGGCCTTGTTGTGATAAACCTGATCACAAGATACTTAGGCCTTTGTAACTAGTCTGAGGGAAGAATGTGGAAGAATTCAGAACAATGAATGGCTAGAAAAGCTCTTGAATACTGTAAACAGAACTTCCCGTTCTCATGGGGGCCTGGAGGACAAGATTGCTGAGAGAAATACAGACAGTGGATCCCTGGCTCATCAGGTTTCACAGAGGAACAAAGAATATCAAAATCTGATAGGGCCATTCATGTGAGCTAGCAAAGAATCTAACTATATAATCTGCATGGCCTCGGGTCTTGAATAAGGTTGACGTTAAAGGTAACGGTAGAGGAGTTTGTTTGGTGGAGGAAACATCAAAACTGGAGAGCATTTGGGCTGTGGTGCACTACTACGTACTGCATGGAGGTCTATGGTGAAAAAGAGTCCAACATTCCACAGAAAACACGCAAAAGTGCAGTTTGACATGGAAGGGAGTATAAGCAATTGTGGCCAGCCTGAGAGTCAACAATCCTCTCTCTGTGGCTTCAGCATTTCCTGCTGACCCAGGCTTCCACAAACTGTCTGCCAGGCAAGGAGTGCCTGCTGGTGGAATCGTGGCATCACTGTTATCCGGGTGTTATTTAGGGCCCACTATACAGGATGACTTTCAATTCTGACACTGTGGACCTGGGGTAAAGCCTGTGGCCAAGGAGGCCATAGATCCCAGAGCTACTATTCATTTTGTTAAATGAATGAACTGCCACCTAAATAGTTACATCTAATATTTATGTTTGTATCTGGATTAGTGCTGCTGTCAGCTTTGACCAGAGAAACTTCTTTGTTTTTGAAGCAACTTCAGAGATTCATAACTGGTCATAATTCTGTGAATAAGGGACTACTGAGAGCTAGGCCACTAATGGCACATCTCGATCACTCCCCCCAAGGCTTGGGAACATTGCAAAAGAGGGAGCAGAAAGAATGTGAGAGCTGGAGAAAGAGAGGCCTTGTGATAGTTTATCTTGGTGGTTCATTTAATTGGGTTTGGGATCAACTAATAGGACATGTGCCTCTAGGTCCATCTGGGTAGCACTTGCCTTGGGCAGCCCAGGTCAAAAGATGTGTAAAGGAATGAATAGCAAGGCTGCATTTGCCTGACTGCCTTTACTGCCTGCTGGTGCTGACATCTACTGTTGTGGGTATTACTGCTACCATCATTTATTGATTTCAGAATCCAGATTTTCTGGCCTTCCAATATGAACTGAAAAACCTCAGCTTCCTCCAAATCCTCCAGGCCTTCAATGCCAAACTGGAAGTCCTAAGGCACCCAGCCTCACATACTGAATAGTTACTAGATTCCCAGTATCTCCAGCTGCAGAGAGCCACTGTTGGGTTGACCTATTCCGTGTAATATAAGCCCATATAATAAATCCCTTTTGTAATATATGAATTCTACTATTCTGCTCCTCTAGAGAACCCTGACTAACACAAACATAATGATATGTACATATGTAAAACATACATACATCCATTGTACTCCTACTGACTGAAGTTCCACTATTAGTCATTAAAAGTCTAAAATTTTACAAGCCAAGTTACCCCCCTGACTATTTCCCTTCATGATGCATCACTCAAGTGGAAAAAAATTGTTTGGGTGTGATTTCAGTATGATAAAATCCATCAATTTTCTTGTTCCATGAATCACATTTCTTTTTCTTTA